TGGCCGTTTAAATTTAATTTTTTAATTTTCTATTTTCACGTACTCATATTTTTAAAGTTTGACATCTTTTACCAGAATAATCTTTTATCAGACTCATTGAACATTTCTTTGAAATCACGCTTACTTTTTAAAGTGATTATATAATGATGTTTGAGATGATGTCTTGCATAGACTGGTCGCGAAATATAATGAAGTCTCAGTATATTCAGATTTTCACGTTTTTGTGACTGGTCTAGTTTGCGCTGGTATTGTGTGGACGAACGCAAACCTTTCTGTGCTTCCCACATTTCATAAGTCTCCCTACTTAATTCTATACATTCTTATCCATCATTTTGTATGATTGATGATCAAGACCGAAATGTTCCCAAAACTTTCTGTGCCATATTATCTAGACTTTTCAGGAAATATCGCCATTTTATAGAGTCTTTTCCAGCAAAATCGCCATATTATTCTGGTTTTTAGGGCAAAATCGTCATATTTTCCAAGCCTTCTCATTTAAAATTATATTTTAATTGGTACCGGAGATTTATTTATCAAACCAGAATCACTTTGTGTAGTATTTTTATTTATAGATAATATAATTTATTTAACGCGACAACATTTTTGCTGGCTGATTTGAATTAGAATCGACAAACCATCGATCGAACTGCTTGTATAATTTAAAATTGTAAACGACTTCAGAAGTAACAAACAGACAATTTCAGGGGAATTTTTCCAGCGATTAAGAAATAAAAGTGCAAATAAAAAATAGCCATATTAATGACTGGTTGCTCTATTGTTCTATGCATTTTTATTTCTTTTTTATTTATGTTAGCTTTCATGATTCTGTTTTTCATGCATGCATTTATCATTTTTCTGTGTCTTTCACTTTTCTGTCTGTCTTCGAAATATTTATTTCTTTTTCACCTTTTTTCATAATTTTGAAAATATTCCAAGCACGTTTTTTTTTTTAAATACTGTTTTCCTGTTTATTATATTTAATTATTTATATTTATTTTCCTTTTATTTCTTGTTTACTTATCGTTTTACTTCTTTAATTCTCTTGTACATTTTTTTATTCTTTTTTTTGTGTGATTTCCGTAAAGTAAATATTATATTTATTTATTTATTTATTATTTTGCCTTTTTTCTTTACTTATAATTTTTGTTTAACTTTGTTGCTACATTATTGTTCATTCTTTTTGTCGTATGATTTCCGAAAAGAAATGTTTTAAAAACATTTTTTTTTTAATTATTTTGCTTTTTCCTTTCTTCTTTTGTGTTGATAGCTTTTCATTGTCTTGTTACATTTCTTGTTCATTATTTTTCTCATAATTTATTTTATTTTATTTACTATGAAACTTTTAATTTTTCTTAATCTGTCGTTTTTATATTAGTCTACTATCCGTGGTTATCGTGACTGCTAGCAGATTTTATTTTCTTCGTTATTTTATCTCCCTTTTTATTAATTTCAATTCTCTCACTTATTCTCCCACGGATATCTTTCGGTTAGACAGCGCTTCATTATTTAATGATTGGATTTCCTGGATTGAAAGTTATAATCGTTGAGATGTGTTCAAGATTTAGTCATACGTGAGCACATACTTTCAACCTAAAGCATTGGAAAAAAATAAATCCGCCACTTCCCCTCGTAGTTATGATTCAATAGCAATTTAGACAGAACTCTGCAGCTTTGATAAAAGACATGTATGGATTCAAAAACCCTTTCAAACGAAAGGCAAAAAAAACAAAAACGATTATCCCTAATCTTTTCTAAGATATCAGAGACATTGATTGTTATTTATCTGATCGCGCTACCGATGACATTCATGAGTGTATTAAGTCAAATATCACGGTCCTGAATCACGGTCGGAAGGTTATCATTCTTTGTCATAGCATAGTTGGTCAATGTAGGTGATTTTTGGGCGACCAACTAGTCTTGAGCTATGTCTAGGTATACACAGCAGTGGATCACTCGCAAATTCTTGTTTTTGCTTTTGCGTATTCTGCGTTCCTGTAGGATTGTAGAAATATCAGGGATGGGACCATAGAGCTGGGATTTAGTTAGATGTTTTCTCAAAATATAGCTCTCAGCTTTCGCTCATTTTATTTCGTTGATTTTCAAGCAGTGACATCATACATTAAAACCGTTTGTACAGTAACGTGAAAGAATATCTGTTTTAGGTTGTCTGCTTTAGAGAGCACTTCTAACCAACATCCTCAAAGGATATGCTATTAAAAAAAAACAATAAAAAAGTAACCTTTTCTCTTATTTTAGAATTATGGATTAAGTAACAAAGTGGATAGAAATCTCCAGTCTTAGATGACAGCCTATACTCATTAATCATTTCAAGATAAGCAAAGTTATAAAGCCACTAAGATGAAAGATGGTATTGATTGCGAGAGAATATGAATAAATAGCACTATTAAGGAGAGAGAACGATAAAAGAACAGTAATTAAAAAAAAAGTAACGATTGACATTACATTTAACTATTTAAAGATCAAAGATGCCGGGGTAGAGATCCACAAGGGAGACGTGCTGGAGAAGAAACTGTTAAGAAAGACGTTACAGTTATATTTTGATATCATAAATGAAAGTTCATCAAAACATGAATGTATTTGTATTAAAGGGCCAGAGAAACAACTTCACGGCGGTGGGAAAGTGACTGAAGGTGAGATTTCTGATCAGGACTAATGAAATTTTAACTTTTTCTTGGGATTTTATTAAGAATCTCTAAATATATAGTAAGAGAAGCAAACCAGATATGGCAGAATTATTCGAAGCATAGAAGAATGGCAGACTTATAAATATGTAAGACTAGCAGCATGGCCTGGCGTTGCCCGTGCTTGATTCAAAAACCCTACGACTCATACAGCAATCGCTATCACTTGAATTAAAATATTTTTGCCCTTCCTTGCCTTTAAAGGAGTGTCCTATGCCGTGCTGATGTTGCTACATGCCTTACTTCTTGCCTATCTCACACTGCGAATTTTTTCTAAGCTCCATACTAAATATTAAATTTGTTACGAAAAAAGAACTAAACAAAATGAACACAAAACGATCAGCTTTAAAAAAAGGACTCGTAACTGGAAAAAGCGAATGAAAAAAGAATGTAAACAACAAATACTTTTTCACACCCAACCCAGTTCTGCATAATCAGAATCAACGTTGAGTTTAAGCGAGCGAATGAGCCAATTGGAGTAAAGTGCCATGCAGATTTAAATTTTTCAAACTTGTGACGAATGCAGCTATCGATTTTTTGCATGCTAGCATGTCAGTCAGCTGTTGGCTCTCACGCCGGCCAATAGAATCTTCCTGCCTATTCGTGGCAGCCAGCTAATGGTCTCTAAAGTCCTGAAAGTGCCTATAGAAGAAGACTATGGCATTTCTGATATAAGGATTCTATCAGCGCGAGGGATACAGCGCAGATTGGATTGTAAGAATAGAGTTTCACATGATATATTCTGTAAGTTGTTCGATGAAGTAACGAAATACATAACTAATGTCTGTATTGTGAATACTCCTAAGGTTAGCCTTTTTAGTCCAATCGATATGCCATAAAAGATCAAACAAGATTTTCAATATAGATCTCACGGAAGTTTATGAAAGTCCACCGAAAATCATTACGAACGGAACAGTTATAACCTTGGTACCAGTGACCAAAGAGGATCGATGATTCGACTGTTTCGAAAATCGAAAACCATTTGAAATGGTAGCCATATTTTGTTGATATCTAATTCGGTTTCCTAGAGTCGCAGATGGATGCTAATGTTGTCGACGCTATCTGTAAAGCAGCTTGGATAACTGGCAGACGAAATAGATTTCCTCAAGACGCATCCAGGGACACTCTCAGACGAGGTAATATTGCGACACAGATGCCAGTTCATCATTAAAACATCGAACGAAACGTTAACAAGAAGGAAGCGTTTATTTATTCGACTACAATGTGACTTTTCTGTACGCACAAAAAGGTGGAGTTTTACTTAGGATTTAGTGAAAGGAATTATATGACCTGTAATAAAATACATACGGTGGAACTGATCTATATAAATGGACTATGATAAGGATTTCCTTGGTAAAACTCGAGATAACCATTTGCGCCGGTATATAATAAATCTATTTCGTTCATGTCAGTTTATGAATGAATCGACCAGGCTGAGGCCTCATCTTTTCTTTCTTTTACTTCTGTTTTCTACAACTTTCCTCTGTATGATCTACAACCTGTTTGTTTCTTTAGAGTTTCAGCTTTGTAATTTGTTTCTATACAAGACTTTCTTTATGTTCAAAGCCATGTTTCCGTTATGTCTTCTTACATTTCAAGGGCATTATTTGTTTTCTCCCTTTCTATTGGCATAAAATCTTTCCATTCTTGTTTCTTATTTATGTTATTCCTTAGTGTATACATATATATATATATATATATATATATATATATATATATATATATATATATATATATGATTAATGATAATTTTTTCGTTTATCCACATCTTGCAACACTGGTTATATTTTATGACCACAATCTTTATGTCACTATTGTTCATTGCCGTTCTAACATATATATATATATATATATATATATATATATATATATATATATATATATATATATATATATATATATATATATATGTGTGTGTGTGTGTGTGTGTGTGTGTGTGTGTGTGATATATTTTGAAATAACCAGTGATCATTAATATTCAGAGCAGAAACGACTAACTGGAATCTACATATCTGGAGTCTCATTTATACAATCTATTCCAGCAAAATACTGAATAAAATGATTAATTCGTTTTCTAAGACTTTAAGGTTCTTTAACGTCAGAACTTGTTTTTAGATTGTAAGAATATTTTTAGATAGAAATTTAGTTATACATATCTTACTATTTAACCCATAGAGATGGATTCGTACATATTTGTGCAGAAGTGAATATAACGAACACAATGTGAATTTGAACTCGGTTCTCCGTTTAACAATTCTGAGCCATTATCCATTACCCCACCCGCAAATCTAAGCCTAAAGCACCTGGCATTCCCAAGTGATCACCTATCGCGATACTGACCAGGCTCGATGTTGCTTAAATTCGCTGATCGTGTGGGAACCAATGTTTCAAATTGATATGTCCCTAAGCCTAAATATTGCTGAAAAAATCGTCAGTTCATTTATTACACCGGAGCAGTATGTATCTAACTAACACTGCTATCCTCCATCTTTACAAAAGCCAACTCAGACGCAAAATATATTTCTGTCAGATCTGTGGTAGACCTGCTCATTCCTCACTTGGGAGCAGCCTTGATAGAGTACAAAAGCGCCTGCGCGGCCTTGTTGATGATAAAGTAACGTAAGCCCTACAGAACTTTTGCCACAGACGCTAACCTCTCGCAGATTTAACTATTATTCCAAGGAAAGTGTTCTAACGAGCGACATTCCTTGGGTCAATATGAAATTTAAAGAGAAGTATATTAAATAATTTGGTAATATTTTTTTCGTCATATTACTGGTTATCTTATTTGATCACGTAGCTTCCGGACATTAAATTAAGTAACATGAAAAAAAAATTAAAAAAAAAACAAAAAAAACTCACGTTGAGAATTAAAGAGGACCTTGAACGGATCACGAATGAAACCAGTTTGTCTTCAAAAGCTGATAGCTGCACAGCGCAAACATATCCACACACATTATCATATCTGTTCTTTTTTTTTTTTTATATAAGTGTGAAATCATTTGCTCTAAGAGCTGAAATATTTTCACCTTTTGGACTATTTCATTTAGTTTTTGTGAAATATTTTCGAAATATTTCTTGATAAGCACTTAGCAAAAATGAAAAAAATTAAATGTAGCAATATACTTGGGTTAAATTTGATTAGACTGTTGAACACACAGAATCTACTGGACAACCATTAGTTAGATGTAAATTCCACTCGAGCAGCTGCTTCCTACGATTGGCTGTTCTCTGGAACTGACTCCCAAGTAGATGCTTCTACGGTGTCTACAATCACAACCTATTCAAGTCAATGATTAATCGTTACCTTCCCCATATATCCGCACAAACTATGCATCTTACTCTGTAACACTATACCTTGAGTGATTTCCGCGCCTATATATATATATATATATATATATACCTTCATAATAATAAATGAGTCATTACATGTCCTATGTACGTGTATATGTGTATAATGGGTATATGTGCTAAAGAAGAAGCGCCCTCGGAAAGAGGGTATGCATAAATATAAGATGCATTGATTGATTTATTTGTTTAACGGCACATCGAGTCATTATGGGTCATTTAATGCCAAAATTCAATTTTCTTCGGAGCTTTGAAATAATAAAACTGATGCATGTTATTCTGCTTTCACAACTGAATACATGGTAGATGATACTCAGCTTTTGTGTATATACAGGTCTGTGAGGACGTAATTATTGAAGTCGGTGATATATGCGCTTTATGTTGTAGTTTTTTTGAAGTTATATTTTGGGATATAGTCTGATTTCTTCCAAAAATCTAGGATATTTTATGATTTAATCTCATGAAAGAGTTATTTCCTGTTTGTTGTTTCGTTGGGCTGATTTTGTTTAGCGCCCTATCCACTTCTAAGTCTTATTTAATGACAAAATCTAAATATTTTGAACAATTTTATGGCTTCATCTAAATATATTTCGACCGTAATTGTATGCCTTTAACTACAGATAAAATGTATTGTTGGTCATTTTGCTATAAAATGTATTGTTCGTATTTCTAATATAAAATGTCCTTCTGGTAATTTTACTATAAAAATATATTTTATACTTTCATAGAATTTTGATTTTGTTTGAGAATTGTCATTATTTGCCCATGGCTGGCATCATAACAAATGCTACCATCCCGGGTCAAGATGGACCTGGAACAACAGCAATTAAGAGGTGGTTCCACGCCACACAAAACCTACCCATTAATGGCCTTGCCGCTCGATGTAATTTATCACCGTCCTCAGGTCTGTTGAGGCTTTGATAAATTTAAATATATACAGTCCTTGTAAAGAAATAGCTAGACACTTGTAAAAAATATCTTTACTTTAATAATGTTTTTTTATAATCATATGACAAAAAAATACACATTTTTTTAATATTATCCGAATTATATTAAAACGTAATCTTAGAAAACCTTTAGGACATGAATGAAATTTTGTCAAAGATATTAAGAAACGCATATCTAGTTATTTCTGCACCTGCATAGAAACATTAAGCATATTTCTGCAATATATAATGTCGTTATTCGCTAATTGGACCCTATTTTCCTATAATTACTTTTTGTTAAATTAAGCGAGCATTTACGGAAACATTTAAAATAATGATTATTTTATCTACATTGCGGTTATCAAGATATTGAATATACCTGTCACTACCACTGGATCGATTATCTTGAAATAGAATTTTGCCACCAGAAAGAAACTTCGTCGACTTGAAGCTCCGCAGAAAATATCACGTCACCTGAAAAAGCCTAATATCTATTCAACATATACGATTGAAAATTCTAAATGAAATCGAAGAAGATATAGTATAAATTAGATATAAATAAAACGATAGATGCAGGTAAAAAATAAACTTCTCTCCCAATACATTCATAAAATTATGTATATATAGACAGGGGGAGATTGATATATAAAGACTGAATATAGACAAATTTAAAAATGAATATATACTTATTCATAAAAATCGAAACACCGTTCAAATATTATGCGGGGAATCTTAAGAAGTAGAAATTTGGAGCCTAATTTTAAGATACATTTTTTATTTCACAAAAATGGATTGTATTTTTCGTTTTCCAACAGTGTGACAATTTACAAGAATTTCGCAGGAAGCCAAACAGGATATAACGAACATTACTATTTTTTTTTTTTGGCCTGTGATATCAAAAGGTGATATACAATAAAATCCTATGCCTTTGCATAAAAGTTCAAGGTAAAGATTACTGCCGTACCTTGGAAATGTCGAACGTGAATTGCGATCTGACGCGATTTACGGTTACGTCGGCTTACAGTGTAGAAGCGAATTTGATTAACTACGAACCTCAGCTAATCTGAAGATATTCTATACCACTTTAAGGAGATTAACATTTCTTTCTTTTTTTTATTTTTCTCGGACGATTTCTGTGCTATAGCAATATCTATGTCTTAAGTCTATTTTCAAATAAGTTTTGTTTTTTTAAAACAATCACGTAATCATTTTACTGTTGTCGTCTGAATTTAATTAGTCACTATACATGTGATTATAAAGAATAATAGAACATTTGCCCTAATATTTTATTTATCGTATTTGCAATATCACACGTTGCATAAGCAGCTAATTAACGAATAACTTATTAATTAATGGTTACATGAAATAATATACATATTTTCTGTATCTTTGTGTAACACGTATATTTTGTAATAGGTATAATACTTCCGAAGGTGAAACAAAGTATATATGGGAGCTAAAATGCGTGATACATTATTTAGCTGTTCTTAAAATTAATTATGTTATAGTTCTTTCGAAATGAACACTAAAAATGTTGAAGCTTAAAAACGGCAAGTAAGCGCGAGAATGAGTGGTTTTAGCATTAACGTTCTGACGTTGATACCATGCTCTGAATCTCAACATGGTCGATTGGCCAAAAAGAAGAGATCTTTATATCATCGGCCTAAGGAGAATATCTCGCTACGGTGTATCGTTCGGCGAGGCCAGAAAAACTTACCACCGTTTCATCCACGCTTTGTGAATTAATTTCCGGCAGACGTCAGTCGTTTTGCTAGTCATCGTTATCGAGTATTTAAGCGTGCCTCTTCAAAATTGTAATCTAAGCATTTGATATATGAATCGATTCGATGTTTCGAGCCACGCAGATAATCAGTAAAATTTTAATAGAGCTCATTTCCATCAAAGGTGGAAAAAAAACAACCCTTGCTTAGATTGTTTACAAAAAGGTGAAACCGAAAAATCAACTATCCGTTAACAACTCCAAAATCAGACCCTCAGCCGAAGGGTATGACGCTATCTGTGGTAATTATGATGATATGGAGTATTTTGAACACTGTCAGCAAAATTAAACCTTGAATCCAGAATCCCTAACTAAATGGATCTAGTAAAGGATGTCTAGAATTATTATTATGGAAAGAGTTGTAGTATTGTTGAAACATTTTTTCTTTCATTTTAATCATTTCGCCCCAAGCAAGGCCATAAGACCCCTAGGACGCAGGGAGTTACTGAGTGTGGGAGAATATATTTAGAAAAATCTTACGGAGAGAGAACAATAAAAGAAAATGAATTAATAAGACAAAATATAACAAGTGACATTGTATTAAAATGTTTGAAGGTCAGCAAAGAGTTTAACAAGCAAGAAGTTCGAGAGAAGAAACTGTTATCATATAACCTACGGTTACATCTAGTCATTTTAAAAGTACTAAGATTAGACCGAGCTGCCAATCTAGTAGTGCGCTTGAACTAATATATTACATATACCAAATAGGAAAGCTAATTAGAAGAATTACTATGATTACTACTTGGTTTGTAACCCTAAGTCCCTGTGTAATAAATAGGTGGAAATTTGTTCAAGTAAATTAAACGGCATTAATTTGTTTTAGTTCTTGAAAAATGTCAGCCCCTAAACCGAAGATTCGATTCTACCGTATACACAATAAATGTAAAAGAAACAAAATATTTCACAATAGTTCTTTTTCAATTCGCTAATGGAGCAAAGATGTATCATTGTAAAATACAATAATTGCATGTTATGATGACCAGACTCACCCCACTCCACACTTCTTGGATGGCCAAAAAGTGTGGAGTGTGTGAGTCTGGTCATCATTAACAATCTTATACCTATCTAATCCGAGTCACGGCCTATTCATTCATTACAAATAACACATATACCAAAGAGAAGACATCCTCCACTTTTACTCCTGCATATACCATAATATTCCGTACACAAAGGGAACCTCCAAAATAAACCATGTGATTTAAACATTTCTTATGTACACATAATCTATGTACAAAGGTTCGTTATATATATATATATATATATATATATATATATATATATATATATATATATATATATATATATATATATTAAGAAATGGAAAAAGTCCAACAATTTATTTATTAAAG